TTTTGGAGGAGGGCAGCCACCTATTTAAAAATTTAAATCAGGTAAATTAATAAAATAAATGAAGTATTTTAATGTGGGTATCAAATTAAATAGGTTTAAGAAATATAACTGTTGGAAATATTTCTGAGGCGGGTTGCCACCTATTTGAAAATTTTAACTCAATCAGATTGATAAAATAAATGAAATATTGCCATGTGGGTATCAAACTAAGAGTTTTAAGAAGGCTTACAGCCGAAACTATGTTTTAGGAGGGTTGCGACCTGTTTTAAAATCTAACTAAATTTAATTTATAAAATAAACGACATTACAATATAGGTATCAAATTAAAGAGGCTTAAGAAATATGACTGTAGGAAATACTTTTGAGATGGGCTCCCTCCTATTTGAAAATTTTAGCTCAGTTAAATTGATCAAATAAATGAAATATTGCAATGTGGATATTAAGCTTTAGATTTTTAAGAAGGCTAACAGCCGAAAATAAGTTTGAGCAGGGTTGCCACCTGTTGGAAAATTTAACCCAATATAATTGGCTTATTACAATAAAGGTATAAAATTAAACAGGTTTAAAAAACAGACTGTATGAATTATTTTTGAGGGGGGCGGCCACCTATTTGAAAATTTTAGCTCAGTTAAATTGATAAAATAATTGAAAAATTGCAATGTTGGTAATAAACTTTAGATTTTTAAGACGGCTTGCAGTTGAAAATATGTAGGAAGAGGGTTACCCCCTTTTTGAAAATTTAACTCAATTTAATTGATAACATAAATGACTTATTACAGTAAAGGTATCAAATTAAAGAGGTTTAAAAAAGATGACTGTTGGAAATAATTTTAAGGACGTTTGCCACCTATTCGAAAATTTGAACTCAGTTAAATTGATTAAATAAATGAAATATTGCAATATGGGCATCAAAGAGGTTTGAAGAGGTTTGCCACTTGTTTGAAAATATAACTCCATTAAATTGATAAAATAAATGAAATGTTACAATATGGGTACCAAACGAAAGGTATTTGAGGAATCTTGATTTGGAAATACTCTCAATAGAATTATGCAGTATGTAAAAGTATTATTTATTTATTTATTTATTAAATGAGGAACAACAATACAATTGTTATTGCACAGAAAAGAGGAGCACTGGCTGCCAGGGCCTACGGCTCGCTGGTATGAAACATAGTATTATGCAAATAATAAACTTTTAGATATAGAAGTATAAGGAACTACTAAATTGAAATTAGTGTGATTGGTAACAATACATAACTTAGTTCTAAAGATTTAAAGCTAAATTACTTTTCGAAAATCCGTTTAAGTTAGGTATGTTGCTATTTTCTCAATGTTTTCGGGCGAAGTGGTTTTTAAAAAATCAATGGGGTTGCCGAAGTTGAATATGTTGCTTCTGATGGAGGAAAACTGAGGACATTCGCTCAGTATATACGTGATGGAAAGAGTTGCCGCAGGACAATATTGACAGGATGGGGGGCTGGTACCAAATAGCCTATATGAATGTGTAGCTATGGTGTGCCCTAAGCGTAGTCGAACGAAGGCTTTAAACTGAAAAAAGTAAACTGAAAATATTTGAATTAAATGAAATACGTATTACATAACGAAACGGAAAGCGTTTGGGAAAGCTTTACAAGAGAAATTTTTTTTTTGTAATGTGTCCAAATCCGGACAGTTTAAGTTAAGAGAGAGTTTACAACATCTTATCTAACGATGTGATCATATTATCAACGAAGAGTTGGTATACAAATTACGTACAGAAAAAAATTAATAAAGAACTACTGATACAAATGAAAAAATTATAAAAAGCGTAACGAAAATGGAATAATGAAAACTTAAAATTGTTATCACTATTCCCTTATATTAACACAGTTAACAGTTAAATTTTAATCATAAACAATTTCGTTTGGGGACGCCATAGCATACTAAGTATATTGCGAGTAAAGAAGTTTTGAATAACAATAGATAAGACTATTATGATTTGATTATTATTACTATTGTGAACTCCTATTATATGCGCAAACAAACATTCCCAAATTAAAGCTAAAGCAGAAGGGCATTTACGAACGCATGATGCAAGTGTTAACATAATAAGAGCTGCAGAACTGAACCACTCAGGAACAATTTTTGCAAGCACGTGTAATTTCTGGCGTGTGCCGGTGACGTCGACATCATCGGGAACAAAAACCTCGAAGTCTGTTCTGCCTTTTCCAAGTTGGATAACGAAGGACAACAACATCAAATAAACAGTCAAGGCATTCGCACCTTGGCACCCACGTCACTGTTGCCAGTTGTAATTTCGAGAAAGTAGAGAATATTGCTTACTTGGGAACCAGCATTAACACCGATAATAATGTCAACATGGAAATCCAACGCAGAATCAAAGCACAAACAGTCAACGACGTAACGTAGACGTAGGTTGACGCAGACACGATCTACCTTATGGGATGCGCGTTTTGACGAAAACTCACCACCGCATGGCGTTGCCGTTGCTTCTCTCTCTCTCTATCAACAGTAAATTTTATATGCTGCTACGTACGTCAACCTACGTTTACGCTACGTCGTTCACTAACTGAGCCAACAAGTGCAACTTTGGACTGCACCATGGCACATAAAAAATTGCTTGAGGTTTTTGATCGATTGTCGCGAGATTTGCAGGGAAACTTTTAACCATTTGGGAATGGATTGATGTTGATCTCAGGAGATTTAACGCAAACATTGCCTGTAATTTCTCGATTAACACTAGCGGACGAGGTAAATGCTTGCCTGAAATAGTCAACATTGTGGCAAGGCGAACATACATACATTGCAGCCGCGGTATTCTCGCGACAAATATTGGATACTGGGAACGGAAAGGTACCAGTAAATGAGAGATTAAGGCGAATTTTATTGCCTGATAATTTTGTAACTTAGAAACATCGAAAGGAGAACTTATCGAAATAATGTTTCTTAATTAGGAAAATTAATTATAGGCTCAGTGAACGAGCTATTCTTGCTGCGAAGAATGAGGATGTCTATCACCTAAATAATAGTGGTATTGACAACAGTCGTTGCTTGAGCTGATCTGCTCTTTTACCAGACTGCCAGGCCACTTGCTCACTCTGGTGAACACCACTAATGTTATTCAATGTAGCATTCAAACTGAGAGATTAACCTATACGTCGATAAACACTGTTGTGGAAAAAGACGAAGTAGTTAATTATCCAACGGAATCTTTGAACTCGATTGATCTTTCAGGGATAACGGCACATACTGAAATTTAAAAAAGGTGTGTCAATTATCATGTTGCGGAATATTATTCAGACAAAACTCTGCAGCTGCACGCGACTAGCAGTAACGACATTGATGAAGAACGTAGTGTAAGCAGAGATTTTAACGTGGCATTTCAAAGGTGAAGAATTCCCATGATTCCGACCGATACACAATTTCAGTTTAAAAGATTGCGATTCCCAATTCGATTGGCATTCGGAATCGCAAACAATAATGCCCAAGGTCAACCATTGGAAAAGTGTGGTTTAGATTTAGATGCGGTTTGCTTCTCAGATGTTGCATGTTCCTGTGTCGGCAAACCAGATATCCTTGATATCTATGCAGAGAATGGCAAAGCGACAAATATTGTGTGCACACAAGTACTTATTAGAAAATCAAACTTATATGAAACGTATGCTTTGTTTCGTTAATCATTTATCATATACATATGTAACGGGAATATGCCACAGCAAAGCGTGGCAGGGTACGGCTAGTTGTTTTATATAAACAAACAGCGCCACAGGCGAAAATTTGGTTAACAATGTACTTTTTAAAGAAAATATAAATAAAATCTTGGATACTGCACTTCCCTTTCCTCTATTTTTGGATTCTTCTTTGCTTTTTGTCGAGTTCGATGCTTTGCTCTTCACTTCAGTACGTTATGCAGCACTCTTTGCGTTCTTGGTTCTACTGGTATATGTGACATTTCACGGATCAGCCAACCTAACTTAACCTAGTTGCTGCGAGAGTTATCAAAAGTAATGAACGTCTAAGGGATATGTAGGTAGCCCAAATAATGGTTGCAAAAAGGTAACTTGAAACGCTCTAATGAAGAGAGGGAAGACCATTAACATCCCCTTCGCCACGGCTATTTTTCGGGGACAACAATAAGATACGATATTTAGAGGGCGTACTGCAGGAAGGCCAGATTTTCCATGCATCTTTGGCTGCGATGCAAATGATTATAGTATATGTAGAGTGGAACAGCCATTATAAGAGCCGGAACGGTGAGTTTCTACTAGGTCCATTATAAGTGAAAACCTAATTATCCGTAACATTGACGAGAAGCCAATATTTGTTACTAGGTTTAGAGAAAAGCTCATTGACAGTGTAATGATAAGATTATATGATTGAAAATTTTACGAGAATCCCCTTTGTCTGGTAATTATTATTAATTATTATTCCTTTTTTCAGAGAGCAGTAAAAGGCAAAACACTACGGGAAAATGGTGGAAATATATCTGTCGCTTTCGTGACTCGGCACTATGGTAAGCCGTTCCAGTAATCTCGAAAGCAGTTTGGCTCAGTAAGGTGGTGTAAGTACAATAATTTTGTATCCAAAAATAAGATTTTCTCAAATATTGCTCTGATCTTTATGAAGATTAAAAGTTAAAACATTCTGAATGTGAAACCGCACTAATGCAAAATTAAATCCTGCTGAAGCTTTTATGGGGAATAACTTGTCCAGACATAAAATATAAATATGTTTTGGCTTCGAATTTGAATGCAAATAAAATATTCAGTTTTACTTACGGCCATATTATTGACTTGTCGTTATTCCTTCGTATTCAACGGTTTAGTTATTCTGGGCAATTCTGAGCGACGGCGGAATAACTTTTTTGTCAATTATTCACTATGGAATAGCGGCTAATAACTTTCCGGCAGAGGAATAAATATTTATTCCAATAGATTTTCCGAAGAGAGGAATTGACATTCGGAGTGTCAAAATATTATAAAATTTTGAATAAATTGCTTAATTATTTTTGTGTTGTGGTTTTGTTAACAATTTTAATTTGCGATTTTGTGTGCTATGAACGAAAATAAAGAAAAAGACAAGAAAAAGTCGCGAGTTCCTCGAGCACGGAGATCTGCGAATTGGTCGGCGGAGGAGACGTTGCGCTTTGTGCGCGCACTTGTTGATGTCGGTCGCGATGGCATTTTAAATCAGGCGACAAACGGTTGCACGCCAGAGCAACGGGCCCAGGAGTATCGGAAAATCGCGAATATATTGAACGCCGAGCGCGCTTCTACGGTTGTTATTTTTTCATTATTTAAAATTTATTTTAAATGGTGTTAAATATTTTTTCTTTCAGGGAATTGTTCGCGAACCACTACATCTGCAGAATCGGTTCAAGCAAATAAAGCAGTATTTGCAGACATATTCGACATGGCAGTGGCAAGTTTCAATGGGAACTGGTGGCGGACTTGCGAAACCCATGCCAGTGTCTTTAACCGTTCCTCTCACTGGAGCCATGCTAGAATTGCTTGCGATTCTGCGTGATCGCTTCTGTGGCCTCCATTCCGAATTTGACAGCGATATGGTAATTTATGGAAGTTCGGCAAACAGCAAAGAGCACTCACTGCTGAATACGGAAGCATTGCCCGAAACACAAATGCCGGATGATACACATACCCC